CTCTAGTGCTCTCCATCTCTTGACTTTGCTCCTGTGTTAGATTTATTCTCTTGAACTGGCTTCTCTGCATGGGAGGGGTACGTGGCAGTTCAGACCTCACATCCTTACTTACAGCTTTGTGACCAGAAGCAGCTAGCTTCTTTTCCTACCTCCAGTATGAAAAATCCCAGGTAAGAACTCAGATTAGTCTAGCTTGATTAAATGTCCATCCCTTAGACCAGTTTCCCCAGATCAACATCAGATCATCAGGGGATTAGAAGGGTGAGGCCAGGTAATATACATTTTAACAAGCCCTCCAGGTGGATCTGATGCACACTAAATTTGAGAATCACACTGCCTTAGAAAGGGAGTGAGGTACTACAATTGGTACAACTGGGTCAAATGCCAGTTGGAGGTTTTCACTATAAAAAAGATGGGGTACTGGGCAAACAAAAACAACATGTATCCACTATATGACCTTTTTTTCAAAGTTCATATACAGAAACTTTCCTAGGTGAAGGGAAGAATAAGGACAGTGGGTACAGTCTCTGGTACTGGTGACAAAGCTTATCAGAAGGTTGCCTTTGCCCTTCTTTATAAGATCCCTATTTTCCATTGGGAACTTCCTTGATGATGGCTCCCTCTCAATCAGAAATGTTCAGGTTCGTTAGGGCTCTTTCTGCCCCATTTTCTCCTCCCCTTCACCCAAATATCTTGATCTCATAGAGCTTAGTCTGCTAAGGAAGACATACTAGTAGGAGTATATAAAAAGGGGATGTGTTTGGTCTGGAGAATAAGCCAGTCATTGAAACGACTGAAGTGAACTACAGGGCAGAAACTGTAATTCCAAAAGATCTGAGATAGGAACAAGCTTGACATTTTTGAAGGCACAAAAAGAAAGTCTAACAAGGCTATAGCTAGAGTACTATGAAAGAAGAGAGCAGAAAGCCAATGGATCTTCATTAAGAAGTTTGGATTTTACTCTCAGCACACTGGAAAGCAATACACGTTCTAAGCAGAGGAATGACATCATCCAATTTAATCAAAATTATTTTAGCTGCTACATGAAGAATGAATTCTATAGGGTTAAACATGGAATTTAGGAGCTGGTGAGATACCAAAGATTTCCAGCAACACTTGCCTCTGCTTTCTGTAAACTTGCTGATAAAAATAAATCTTCCCTTTACCAGCTACTAGTCTTAAGGAAAAAAATACTTTCAATATGCTAAGTGATAGGCTCTAAGAGTCCATGTGAGTTGGCATTTCATGTCCTTTGCTCATCATGGAAATCAGAAACCCAGTTTATCAAAACCCATATCCATAAATGTGATTTCTTACTTCAAAGATATCTTCAAAGCCATTAACTCAGTTTAAGAAATAAATAATCCTGAGAACAGTACTTGCAATAACAAACCATTTCAAAATGCCCTACTAGATATAGTACCTGCTCACTACCAGAAAGAAAAATGTTTATAAATTATTCCTCCTCATGTCAAGATCCCATCACGGGAAGGGCCATAATGACAAATGGCTTGTGAAAAACAATTTCCCCTCCCCACACACAGCACATCCTAAAATTGTAGCTATTAATTTATAATTACCTGCTGAGTTCAGCTACCCTCATAGACAGAAGGTCATGATTTTGCACAGTGTCAAAGCTCAAGGATTGGCTGATTCTGGAATTGGCAGAATGTAGCCTATTCTCCCACCTCGAGTATGGAGAGTGTTAGAAGCCAATCTCAATGTCTTTCTGACATATTCCAGGCTTCCTAATTCACACAATGCCTTTGGATCCCAAATGACTAAATTACTATGTGGCCCCAGATAAAAGCTGGGCTCATCACTTCTGCAAAGCCAATCAAATCTTCTCACAAGCACTCAAGAATTCATCACTATGACTAGACTCTTGAGGCAAACCTTCATTTACTCACTTCAACTTCTTTCTTCAGTGCCAAGAAATCTGGAGCCTATGAGCCCTGATGTTATAGAAAGGGTTCAAAGCAAACAGGTGCTGCTGCTCCTTTTAACATAATCAATTATAGATGCCTAAAATGTGTACCTTATTCATAATGCTGCTTCATTCTTCATTCATATGCAGAGGAAAACAAACTTTCTGTGGAAAGCATCCAAAGATGACTACATCTTCAAGTGGACAGTAACTTTTCTCAAGAAACAAAAATATAAAGGAAAGTTAGTATCACTCCTAAAGTTTCCTTAAAAATGTTATGAAATGGTAAGTGCTTTTAGTCTATCAGTAATGGTAGTCAAATGGTTCCAGTAATTGTCTTGAGCTAATGCCTATTGCTCAGAGTGATAAAGCAAACAAGAACAATGTGGACAATTAAAATGGGCAGATAAATCCAAACCTCTTTTGTATAATTTTACTAATGCCTCTCAAAAAATTTTATGAATCAGTGAACGGGCTGTAAAGGGATTCATTGGGATTTTCTATTTCCATGCTAAAGAACAAAGAAATGCCAAAGACAAATGGAAAAGCAAAGTCTGGATACACTTATTTGAACAATCAAACTCTGAACACCCAGTACTGTTGTTAATTTTTAACTTACCCCTGTATTGTTTTAAAAAGGGCTGGTTAGAATTAAGCTAATCAGTTTTTTGCGGGATGCTTTTAGTAAGAGGCTCTCATAAAAGGAATTACAAAGTATATTTAAATTAATATTCCCCAAATACTTTTGTCACGTCCATTTACTAACTTCTTTATGTTGTAATGTAACTCTTAGGAACTAAAAAATAGATGGAAATTGTTTTTCTCAAGTTAAAAATACTGTATGTGCAGCCTGTGTGGCTCAGTAGTTGAGCACTGACCTATGAACCAGGAGGTCATGGTTCAATTCCCAGTCAGGGCACATGCCCCTGTTGTGGGCTCGATCCCCAGTAGGGGGCATGTGGGAGGCAGTCAGTTGATGATCCTCTCATCATTGATGTTTCAACCACTCTCTCCCTTTCCCTTCCTCTCTGAAATCAACAAAAAATATATATATTAAAAAATAAAACCATATTTTAAAAAATGCTATGTGTAGAACTAACAAATAGTCCAATAAATTTTCCCTAACTACATAATTAACTTACTATATCTTATAAACCACTTAGGAAAAGAACTGTTTTAAGATGTTTATATAATGCAATATGACTAAACATTTACAGTTATTTACTCCATTAAACCCTTATGTTTCACTTAAATCAGAGATGGGGAACATCCAGCCAGGGGGCTGTATAAGGCCCTCAAAATCATTTGGTCTGGCCCTGCAAGGCATTAGGGGTGAGTTAAATGCCTGACCAAATATAGCAGGCTAATTTTTAAGTTGGTAAGTCTGTATGGCCCGTGAATGATGTTATAAATATCCAAATGGTCCTTAGCAGGAAAAGGTTCCCCACCCCTGATTAAATCATCACAAACTAAAGCCCTGTCTAAATTTGAACTGTGACCATTAAATCACTACCCGAGCATAGGCAAATACATATTTTGATGTATATAGAACCAAGAAAAAATTATTTCTGATACTACCTTTGATAGCTCTTAGGAAAATCTCACCTAACGGAGGGTCAATCAACAATTACATTCAATGCAGTGATGAAATGTTGTAGTTGGACATTTTTACTCTATACTTTATTTAACAAGCATTTATTAAATAAGCACCTAGGTTTTGAGAATATCTTCCTTAGGAAAAAATGTATTTAAAGAGATAAATGGGTAGATCCAAACTTTTTAATAGGCAGGCTAGCCTGTAATAACAATTCATTTCCAAAGGGAACAGGAGCATCCAACAGCCTTTGTGAGAACAGGGGCACAAAGTTAATGCAAACGAAAGACTTCAATAGTAAAATACTTAGAAACTGGGACCAAGTGGGGAAAAGAAGAAGCAATTCAGCTAAGTACCACAGGATTAATATAATGCATCAGGAGGATACTGGCTCTCATGCCATGACTCCCCTGGTGGGAACATCCTGAATCAGGCTTGTGTCTTAGGGAAGTCTAGTTGAGTGTAAGGCTGGAGCAAGAGAGCTATTTAGAGAGGTAGAGAGGAAGGGGAAAACAAACTATCTTTTCCGGCTTTCTCTCCAACCAATAAAAGACTAGGTGATCTTTAAATTCAGGTGAATAAATTTAATATTACTTCAGGAGCTACTAATCAAAAATCCAACTTTTCCCATGTCTACTAATTTCAAAATTAAAAGTTTAAAAAATTAGTTGACCCATGGATATAGACAATAATGTGGTGAAGGCCTGGCATGGAGGACAGGGCGAGATAGAAGGGGTCAGTGGGTGATATCTGTAATACTTTCAATAATAAAGATTAAAAAAATACTAGTTGAGGTTATTATGTCAGCTGTGATGCACTTAAATGCAAGTGAATCAGTTGACTCAGAAACTACTAGCTAATATACTTGTAGGCAGAGGTAGCCACCAAGCTGCATACATTTCTGAATTATGCCAAAGAAACTTACCTTCTTCTCCTGATTCCCATTCTCCTCTTTTAAAATGCACGCTTCCTTACAAAGGAGCTTTGTACATAGAGAATTTGTTACTTCCATGCTCACTGTATTCTGTAAAATCATACTGTTTTAATATCACATGGTATGTACTGGTAGTAGGGTGAGTTATAATACCTGGCTTAAGAAATTCTCTACAAAGAACACTCATAGAATTGAAAAGGTTTGTGTGAATCAAACTACTAGTATTTAAATTTGTTTGGTTTACATTTAAAAGAATAAAATTCTTTTCTATTTTTCCTCATCAGGCTTTTCAGACATTTTAAATCCTATAGCCAAGCATGAACACGCTAATCTAAATATGGTGAGCCTATCATCTGGCTTTAGAAAATTTGAATCTATTAAACTTCTAAATTTATGACTGAATACTAAGCCATAAAAATACTTTCCCCAAATTATATATACCCAAAGATTCAAAAGTAACTGATTAAACTTATACATATATATTTTAAAGAAAAGACTAGAAAACTTGGGAAATATTGCTATGTAATCAACTCTAACTTTAGCTCTTTACAACTGTATTATAACTTTATTTAACTTAGTAAAAGCCAAAATTGGTGGTTTTTAACATGTAGCTGAAGGTCAAAAATCAAAGAATACAAAGTACCTAAAAAAAAAAAAAGCATTCAACTCAATACTGGTACCTTCAATACTACCAAACTTCTGTGAAAGAAGCCATGTATAAAGAAAGACTAACAGCAACATAAAAAATGAGTTTTAAAAAGTTCATTTACCAAATTTAAAGATCTAGAAAAAAAGTCTGACTATAATACTTGATAACACAGACATCATGTTTAAGTAGAAAACACAAGGATAAAAACAGTAATATCACTAAAAATATTGCACAACTTCAGGTGTTTCCTCCAAATTTGCTTTATGTAATTGGGTGGATATAAATTAATGAACAAAAATTAAGCAAGATACATGTAACAATTTAATAAACCTGACAATCTAATTACTTTCATTTTTTTTCTCTCAAACTCATCTTTAAGTCTTTCCATCATGGGGCTCATAAGAAAATTAACCAACATATGGATACTACAGCCAAATGTCAAATCTTTAAAAAGCACTTATGACATACTAAATTCCTCTATACGCAGTTATGAAGAACCTTCAAGATACTTGTATTTTGTATCTAGAAAAGTGTTAGAGTGAAATATTCAACTCAATATAAAATTAAACCACCTCTGAGTACATACGGAAAAATAAACACATGCTAAAAATGGATAAAACATTACAACTACTTCTTTACTAGACCATCTCTACCTCTAACACTTCAGAAGCTTAGAGATTCAGTGTTCTTACATTAACTGCAAGATAAAATAAAGGAGAAATTCCTTTTTTTTTTGAGATCACAACTATGAAGTCATGTGGTTATACAAATTCTGCATTTGTGTGCAAAACATGAAATACATATATCTTAATTATCCTTGCTTATACTAGACTTGCCAGTCAGCTAGCAGGACTTTCCAAGAAACAGAGACTGAGATGTGTTTTGTATAATTTCAATAACCTCAGCACTACAATAATAAGAGATGCAGTATCCTTTTGCTATGGTTCAAGACAACAGGGAAGGAGGTCACAAGAAAAACTGAGAAACTTTTCTCAGTTTCACCATGGTGCCACTTTCATTTTTACATAAGCATTGTGGCATAATTCAAGCTCAATAAATCAGAAATCTTAATTTTTAAAATTTACCTTGACTTTTAATTATCACCATATTAACCAAAATAATTAGATAAAACACATTGGAAAGGGTAATACTAAACTCCTACTAGAGTTGGTTTCTTGACACATTAACTCATGTTTTTTTATAGAAAGGGATAGTGCATCTCAGTTTGCTTACAAGCTAGGAGATCACTTTGAATTCTGCATTTCCTAACTGCAAACAGATATAGCACTTATAACAGGTTATAAATAAACTGGTTTTCAAGCATAGAGCCAGCCCCAACGATAATAATACACTATTTAAAAAGACCTAAGGCAATGAATTCCATTTCCAATGGAAAAAAAGAACTGTGCAAACAAGCTTAAAACTACTTTTTTTGTGCCAGTGTTATAAAATGTAGCTTTTAATAAAACCTTGACCCAAATGCTAGCAACTTCAGAAAAGAATTTGGGTGGGGAAGAAGAAAGTTATTTCATTTAGGAAAAACAACCACTATCTTTTTCCTAATCTTCAACACACACGATTTAAACATATAACAGCTGCTGTAACACTTTACACAATTCCTATGTACTGGAGCAATAACAAGATCTAAATACAATTATATTTTTTTAAACACTGGGTCAAGGCTTTACATAAAAATACCATCCTACTTTCCCCCCTAAGTTTCTAAAATATGACGTACTTTTCCCCAACATCTGCAGCCATTCAGGAATTTTTAGGAAACATTGTGCATGATCTTAATTCCTAATCCCTGGCTCTTTGGGCTCAGTGACAAAAGATCAAAACCACCAAAAAATGAAGGTTCACTTGAAGTCAGATGAGAGATCCTGGCTCAATTAGTCTCATAGGACGAAAGCAGTGCTGCATCAACTGGCTCCATGCAGGAGGGGCATGTGAAGGATCTCATCAACCAGTCATCTATACAGTCCAGATGATAGATGTGCATGCACGGCAGAAATCGAATTGGGTCCCCATAAACAAAGTCCATCATACAGATCACACACCTGTTGGGGGAGAGAAATAATCAGAAAGCATTTTTAGAGAAGTGGCCTGTATAGAATAATCTTTAAAATCCCATTACAAAGACAGTGTTAATCTGAAACAGATAAAAATGGTTTGCCAGTCATCCTACCATCAAAGCAAACTGAAATTTTTTCCTATAAGTGTTAGACCATCTACAACCTATCATTTCAATCCCCTGGAAATATGCAGACTTTGAGAGCAATCAAGAGAACAAAGAGAAATGGACCACATGGGGATCAAAGCCATTGCTAGAACTGTGCATGTAAAACAGCTACATGTAGAAGACACTGAAAGGAAAATGTGATGCTTTAGGTAGGAAACCACTGGCTAGATTAACTTTGTTTACACGGGCTGAGTTTTTAGTTTAAGTCCAGAAATAAGAGTTTCCATTTTAATAACTATACATATCTAAAACAGAACCACTAATTTCAGCCTACTTACTAGGCTGCTGTAGGCTGGAATTCTCTTTATCAATCCCAGTTTCAAGTTCACTGCACTTTCCTTCAGGTTCAAAAAGCAACCCAATTCTGCAAGTGTTTCAAGTCAGTGTTCTAGACTGACCAGTGTGCTCAGTGGTTAGTATTGACCCATGAACCAAGAGGTCACTTCCTGTTCAGGGCACATGCCTGGGTTGCAGGCTCAATCCACGGTAGGGGGTGTCTAGGAGGCAGCCAACTGGTGTTTCTCTCTCATAGGTGTTTCTATCCCTCTGCCCTCCTCTCTCTCTAAAGTCAATAAAAACATATTTTAATAAAAAAAAAATGTTAAAATTCTGAGTCTCTTTCTTCACCAGTCTTTTTTTTTACTTATTAAAAAAGTGTTCTAGATAGGATATATCCTAAGTGCTAGCACTAAAATTTAAATGGCGCTATGGCTCAAACAGTCAAACATCAACAAAGTAAATTAGATTATGCATGTATTGGCAAGACTACTCTCAACCTAAAAGGAGTATGGCTGTCTTCATTAGAAACTCTCAAATAATAACTCTGAGGACAAAAACTCCCCAGAAGTAAAATTTTATACAATATTCAAATTGCCAGGCTTAATAATATTACTCCACAAATTAAGAAATGGATACAAGATTTTCCTCATATCACTAAAAACCGTTAGTAAACAATTTTACTTTCAGTCTGATAGCTTTTATTTATGTATTTTTTGGAGGCCTGGTGCACGAAATTCATGCATGGGGGGAGGGGGGATGGTCATCTCAGCCCAGCCTGCACCCTCTCCAATCCAGGACCCCTCGGGGGATGTCCGACTGCTGGTTTAGGCCCGATCCTGGGGACATCCCTCTCATAATCCTGGACCACTGGCTCCTAACCGCTCACCTGCCTGCCTGCCTGATTGCCCCTAACTGCCCCCCCCCCCCCCCGCCCCGGCGGCCTGGTCACCTCTAACTGCTTCTGCCGGCCTGGTCGCCCCATGCAGCCTGCTGTTCAGTCGTTTGGTCGCCCCTCACTAAGCCCCCTGCCAGCCTGGTCGCCCGACGTGGCCTGTTTGGTCATCTGTTTGGTTGCGATGGTCGCTTAGGCTTTTATATAGATAGATATACAAAATTCCAAGAATAAGCCAGTTGATTATGGCTATATAACTTATCAATGTATTCAAATAAAAGTATTCCTGTACCACAATTTACTTAACTATACCTCTACTATTGTTTTTAACTGAATAAAACTATGGTGAATATCTTTATGCATAAGGCTATAGGAGAGTGAAGTAACATTCTGGGATAGATCTCTAGAATTAACTGTCTCAATGGGTACAGACTTGAAGGTCCTTGACACATTGCCAAATTGCTTTCCCAGCTGACAAGGCAATGTTGGTGCTAGTTTATACTCACACAGATGAATCATTTTTTTAAAATATATTTTATTGATTTTTTACAGAGAGGAAGGGAGAGGGATAGAGTTAGAAACATCTATGAGAGAGAAACATTGATCAGCTGCCTCCTGCACACTCCCTACTGGGAATGTGCCTGCAACCAAGGTACATGCCCTTGACCGGAATCGAACCTGGGACCCTTGAGTCCGCAGGCTGACACTCTATCCACTGAGCCAAACTGGTTAGAGCTAGATGAATCATTTTTTAACTGACATCAACTTTCATCCAAATGGACACAAGTAACATATAAAATGGTCAGAATTCAAATTCTTCTTAAATTACTTTATCTAAACATTATCTTGCATTAACTGTTTATATTAACTGGCTTCCAAAATGCAGGAGAATATTTTTCAAAAGAAAATCTCTTAAAATAGACCTTTAAAACATGTATAAAGTTATTGAAACTTACTCCCGGATCTTTTTTTCTGATCCATCTCTTCCAGGGTCATAAACTCCTTTAGGCAGATGTTGTATAAGGCCTATTCTTTGAGCTATCCTAATTTGTTCCTCTTCAGTCAGCTGAGTTGCTAGGCGAGTCTGGCTAGGTGTTGGATGATAGACCGGAACTGGAACTTGTTCCTGAATTTTAAGAAATGGAGAAAAGGATTAGTTTTTAAAAATCTGTTTTCTGGTTTTTTTGGTAGGAAGGGAAAAGGGGAGTTTGGGGAGAGGCAGACTGAGCTAGTGTGCAGTAATATAAGATTCTGTTTTAGCCAGCTTTAATTTTAGCATATCTGACCTACTTTGAAGGATGTACAGTAAACACAAGCTTCTCTAAAACAAAAACATGATATATGAAATATTCTCCATGAAGACCATAAAACCCAGATATATTCACTCCTGACACACAAATAGGTAATCAATATAATTAATCTAATGAAATGTATGCGATATTCTGTAGGACACAATGGAGTTTTGTGGCCTCGGTATACCATTATTTATATTAGAACTGGCCATGATAGATTCTTATTTGCAAACTTATTTTTTCTTTCCACGTAGATAGCAACCTTAAAATTAATTAATTTACTTGAAAAGACTGCATATTTTTGCAATAAACTTTTGTAAAATTCCTTTTAGGTTTCTGGATACATATTTGGATATGATAATTGAAAGAGTCAATATGAGGCCATCTTTCCGCCCAAAAGGAATAAAAGAGCTCTTAGGGATATATATATTGACTAGCCAAATATCTACTTATAACATTCACTTACTTGCATATATTACCATAAAAAATATACTAATTTAGACATATTGCCATATTGCTTTTTTCTACTTACATTTATAAAGTAATTTTACTCATACTCTTCATACATTCTTTCAACAGATATTCACTGAGTACTCTTAAGTGTCAGGTGATGGGGAGTTGAGGATAAACAAAATAAAAGTTCCTAGAGTGATGGAGGATGCTAGTTTAGATAGTATGCTCAGGGAAAACCTCTCTGATGAGAAATTTGAGAAGGTGCCTCAATGAAGTATAAGTTAGATACTAATAATTGTAAGACCTAATAATTTCCTTGTGGCTAGAACTATGAGCCACCTAATACGTTTTCCAGAGAACATCTATACTGAATAAACTGGTGGAGACATAACACTTTGAATCCATGTATGAAACTTTCATAGGAAATATAATGTCAAATCATAACTACTTACATTAGAAAATAATTATTGAGTTTCCTGTTAAAGACATTTTAACATAAGACTTGAAATATTCCTTTTCTCTGAGATTCAGAACAAATGTATAATTAAAGAGCTCAAACCCAGTAAATCCTTTATCAAATAATTAAGAGTATATTCTCCGGCATAAGCAAAATGCCAGCAATTCAAAGTTTAATGTTCTATAAATTTCCATATAAATTAATTAATAGTTACTTTAACTACTTTCATGCTTCTATTTAATCATTTAGGAAATAATAAGCATGTGAATGCTTATCAAAACTATTTTTTTCAACTAAATACTTAGTTCATGCATATTACATGGAAAGAAGATACCATATGATTAAGTATGGCTCTTGAATCCTGAAACCTTGGGCTTAAGATATTTCTCTGCCACTTAACAGAGCTACCATGTTTAAGCTATTTAACTTATCTGGATTAGATCCTACCTTACTTATAGTGTTGTTATAAGGCTTAAATGAGGAAGCTGGTGAATTGCAAGAACTCAATAAATGGCAATTATTATATAATCATTAATATTGCTTTCAAAGAGCTATAACTATTATTGCAGCCAAACTAGCAAGCTTTTCCATCTTACTACCTTTACTCTTGATATTTTTTAAATTTTTTTCAGGTACATTGGTCTAAATTCTACCCTATGAAGTAGGTTGTTGACATGAATGAAATATTCTCAGATCCTCTTCCCTGACATCCAATATTGACAGACTCTGCTTCTAGTCTCAGCTTAATTACATAGGTATTGTCTACCAATAAGAGAATTAGGAAGATTACACAGAATACAGGAAACTTCAGTTACATGTGCAGTCATCAAGTGAGGAGAGTGTCCATTGGTCTCCCACACCCCTTTTATTGAATTTATTGGGGTGACCCTGGTTAACAAAAGTCTATAGGCTTCAGGTGCATGATTTTACAATACATCATCTGTACTGTGTGCTCACCACCCCCAGCAAGTCTCTATCCATCACCATTTATCTCCCATCCCCTCTTCCACATCCTTCCACCCACCCTGTTCTAGCTTTCACAGAAGAATATAAATTACCAAACGAACTGCATTTCTCTGGTAGAGCTAGAAAGCTTTCTTTTAGCCGTGTATATCTATAACACTATGACTACAAGAAATATTTTGCTTTATAAACAATTATTTTTTAAGAAACGAATATTTCCTTTTAAATAAGCTTTGTGCATATACAACACTTTTCAGTTTGTAGCTCAAACTCCAAGAACATTTTATATGCAACATATATACATATATACACACATATATATAAAATTCCTGTTTTATGCACTAGAAAAATAACTTTGTTAACTGGGTTTTACAGTGCATAACAGTTATATGACTTTAGTTATTAATGATAATAAATATGGCCATTTCAACTCTGGTTTAGATGAAAGGTTTTATACCTAGCAGGCAAGCTTTCAGTGCAGAAACGTTTCATGGTTCAGAGTCAAAAAGACTGACCTTGCTCTGCCATTTATTAACTTTCAGACCAACTTATTTAACCTCTATGAGCCTCAGTTTCTTCATATGTAAAGTACTAAGACCACTGTAAGAATAAATGGGGCCCAGCTGATGTGGCTCGGTGATTGAGCGTCAACCTATGAACCAGATCACAGTTTAATTCTCAGGGCACATGCCCAGGTTGTGGGCTCAATCCCCAGTGGGGGGAGTGCAGGAGGCAGCTGATCAATGATTCTCTCTCATCATTGATGTTTCTATCTCTCCCTCTCTTTTCCTCTCTCTGAAGTCAATTACACATATATACATTATACACACACACACACACATATATGTATGTGTATATACATATACATATATCCTATATAATAAAGAGGTAATATGCAAATTGACCATCATGCCGTCACACAAGATGGCCAGCAGGGGAGGGCAGTTGTGGGTGATCAGGCTGGCAGGGGAGGGCAGTTGGGGGCAACCAGGTCTGCAGGGGAGGGAGGGAGGTTGGGGGCAACCAGGCTGGCAGGGGAGGGCAGTTGGAGGCACCGAGCTCAAAAGGTTCACCATTACTGGGTTAGGGTGTGATCGGGCTGTCAGGCAGAAGCAGTTAGGGGCAATCAGGCAGGCAGGGAGGGGAGTGGTTGGGAGCCAGCAGTCCCAGATTGTGAGAGGGATGTTCGACTGCCGGGTTAGGTCCGATCCCTGTGGGCCTAAACCGGCAGTTGGACATCCCCCGAGGGGTCCCAGATTGGAGAGGGGGAGAGGGTGCAGGCTGAGCCGAGGGACCGCGGGCTGAGAAACACCCCCCCAAGTGCACAAATTTTGTGCGCCAGGCCTCTAGTGTGTGTGTGTGTGTGTGTGTGTGTGTGTGTGTGTGTGTGTGTATAATGGGAATTGCAAGTATATCTGGTACAGCATGAGATGAAGATATAAAGGCTCTTTAAATAAATATTAGCTATTATTATTGCAGTTTTAATATTATATGACTATAGAACAGTATTCTAATGTTTAAGAAATAAATGGGACTTACAATTTAATATATTAATCATACCTCAATAAAGCAGAAATTCAAATAAATAAAATTTAATTTAAAAAAATAAAGTAGATTGGCAGAGTAAGCAAAAACTTCTCTAAAAGGAACCTTAGGCCCTGGCTGGTTTGGCTCAGTGGATAGAGTGTCAGCCTGTGGACTGAAGGGTCCCAGGTTCAATTCCAGTCAAGGGCACATGCCTAGGTTGTGGGCTTGATCCTAAATAGAGGATGTA